AGCGTATGAGTAATGTAAAGAAAGGCAATTTGCAACATAATTCATACGCCCCAGGGGATATTTAAATTAATATTACTAATACGTCAACCATTACAAGTGATTTAGAAAATTGCGATTTTGGAGGATTGCGATTTGCCACCTGCCGAAAAAAAAAATGAATTTCTTTTTCTCCAATCTAATATATTTTTTTTAAAAGGGGATACATTTTCTAAACATCTCAACAACTTTTCCTTAGTTTTTTTTCCTTTTCTATTTACCAAAATTTTCTTTCATTATTGGTTTTATTTCTCGACATCGTATAAAAAATATTTATTTTTTTTTTAACATAAAAACATAAATCGGCACATATAAAGCTTTTTTTAAAACTTATAAACAAAAAGATCGCTATTCTAAAAATTATTTTCTTAAATAAAATTGTTAGCAGAAATTATTAACAAAAGTTTGTTATTTCTTTGTATAGTACTTATTATTTTTTGTTTCGTTGCTAATTATTTATAAAAAACTTAATATTTAAGCCTTAATGTAAAGAGGACTCAATTGGAGAACAAAGAGCAGAAAAAATATTACATTTGTCAAATACATAATAATAATTAACTTAAAGCTAATAACTATTTACAGAAAAGAAATCCTAAACTTAAGTTAGCGATTCTAAAACAGAAAATGTTAAGAATTTAAACCTAATATTAATGTTAGTTGACTCACATTTACGCTGAAGGCGAAGGGAAGATTTTCAGGAACGAAAACAATTTTGAAGTTCAAGGGAAATTCTGTTCTTCAAGATTCTGGAATTCCATATTTTTTTTTAGAGGAACCTTAAAAATTTAGAACTAACAAATTCAATTTTATGTCCTGTTTTTGAAAATCATACATAAATGATCCATTTTTTATTTCCTTTTTTGTTCTGAAAATTTCCCTATTGACCTCTCCTAACAAGTAGTTTCAAATATTTTAATTCTGCTTTTAAATATAAATATTTGTTGTTGTGTTTTTTGTAATTTTTTTCTTTTAACATTTTACAATTAAATTAAAACTTTGGCTGTACTCATGTTAAACTTAAATAAAATATATGTTTCCCTAAAAACTATAATTTAGAAATATATCATAGAATAGAATCAAAATTGAGAAAAAATAGTTTCCAGTTTTCAATATCAATTCGTTGTTAAAGAAAATATAAAAATGCAATTTAAATAATATTAATATTGGAGCGTATAAGTAATATCATACATCATACGCCAGGGAGGTCTGTGAAATAATAATACTAATACGCACCCTGTGTATGAAAAATTAACCCAATTTGTCACCGATTTTTCACACATATCTATCATAGCTACAGATTTCGTTTCTTCGGTGACCCATAGTGAAATATTGTGCAGAATATTTTGTTCTTTGGTATCATGAACTTAAAATGGAATTTTATGGAATATTTTGACCAAAGAACAAAATTAACCCAGAATGTAAAAAATTTTGATTACCCCAAATTGTAATTGATTTTCAATGATATCTATTGTACCTACTAATTTCGTTTCTTCGGTGACCCATAGTAAAATTTAGAGTAGAATATGTATTTTATTGACTTCGACCATCTAGCGTATAAGTAATATCATATAACATACGCCATGGACGTCATTGGGAATTAATAATACTAATACGCACCCTGTGCACGAAAAATTAACCCAATTTGTTATCGATTTTTTACAGATATCTATCATAGCTACAGATTTGGTTTCTTCGGTGACCCATAGTGAAATTTTATGTAGAATATTTCGTTCTTTGATATCAAGAACCTAAAATGGAATTTTAGGGGAATTTTCGCTCAAAGTACCAAATGAACCCAAAATGTTAAAATTTTGTATTACCCCAAATTGTAATTGATTTTTCAATGATATCTATTGCATCTACAAATTTCGTTTCTTCAGTGACCCGTAGTGAAATTTTGTGTAGAATATCGTTCTCTGGTATCAAGAACCTGAAATAGAACTTTATGGGAATTTTCGCCCAAAGTACAAAATTAACCCAACATTTTAAAATCTGTGATTACCCCAAATTGTAATTGATTTTTCAATGGTATGTTTTGCATCTACAGATTTCGGTTCTTTGGTGACCCTTAGTGAAATTTTATGTAGAATATTGCGTTCATTGACATCAACCATCTAGAACGAAGTTCGATGTAAATATTGGAGCGTATAAGTAACATCACAACAGGTATACATCATAGGTCAGGGTAGTCTTTGAATTAATAATACTAATACGCACCCTGTAACTAAACTAAAATTAACCCAATTTGTTAACGATTTTTCACTAACATCTATCATAGCTACAGCTTTTCGTTCTTCGGTAAGCTATAGTGAAATTTTATGTAGAATATTTCGTTCTCTGGTATCAAGAACCTAAAATAGAAGTTTATGGGAATTTTCGCCCAATGTACGAAATTAACCCAAAATTTTAAAATCTGTGATTACCCTAAATTTGAAAAATAACATTAACTCATTTTGATGTTGAGTTATTAGTGGCACATACCATATCAACAGATTTGAGATCTTCGGCGACCTATAATGAAATTCTGTGTAGAATAATTCTTTCATAGGTATCAATCGCCTAAAATAAAATTTAAAGGGGATTTTTGGACTAATTCGCCGAAAATGCCAAAATAACTCAAAATTTTCAAATTATTTTTGTATCCCAACATATTATCGATATTTGAGCGATATCTCTTATACCTACAAATTCGGGTTCTTCGGTGACCTATAGTGAAATTTTGTGTAGAATATTTAACTCATTGATATCAATTGCCTAAAATGTAGTTTAATAGGAATTTTTGTTGTCGAGTCGCCCCATAAAGGCAAAATAACCCAACAATTTCAAATTATTTTTGATTTCCCATTTGTTATCGAAATTTGAGGGAGTTCCAATATACCTTCAACCTCGACCTCTTTGGTGACCTCTTATAAAATTCCGTGTAGAATATTTCATTCCATTGTGCTTACATTCTAAGATGAAGTTTTATGGGAATATATGACACTTCTTCACTCAAAGTACCAAATTAAAAATATATATGTTTAACCTTTATTTCCTGTCGATTTTTAGTGACATCTATTAAGTCTACCGATTACCTGTCTTTGGTGACCCATAGTGAAATTTTATGTAGAATATTTCTTTCATTGGTATCAACCACCTAAATTGAAGTTTAATCGGAAAATTTGGCACCGAGTCGTCCAAGAAAGCCAAATAAAAAATATTTTTTTAACCTCAATTTCTTGTCGATTTTTTATTGATATCTATTATATCTACAGATTTTCTTTCTTCGGTGACCGATAGTAAAATTTTCCGTAGAATAGTTCTTTCATTGTTATCAACCACCTAAAATCAAGTTTAATGGGAAAATTTGCCACATATACGTTAATGGTACCAAAATAACCCCACATAAAAATTACATTTTGCCCACTAAGCGCAGAAGGAGCGTATTAGTAATTTTAATTCGAAATACCCTGTGACGTATGATATATATTAGTTACCATATTACTCATACGCTCCGAACCTCAGAATTTATCTTTTTTTCTTTAGAAAACATAGCTGCAAATGCAGTATTTTGGTGAGAAAAAGTCGATCTCAGTTTCTGAGGTTTGTTGCGTATAAGTAACATTAAAGCAGACATACATACATAATACGCAATGTGGTCTCCAGAAAAATTCAAAAAATATATAGTATAATTTTTTTTAATCGACGAAATCAAAATTAATCGCTAAATATATTCTAATATTAAATTCGGAGTTCGGGGTCTCAAAAAAAAAATTAAGGTCAGCAAATAAGCTAATTTTTCTCCATGGAAAAAAAATTAATTCGTAGTTTCTGAGTTAATTCTATTTTATAGAAAAAATTTTGAATACATTCAAAACATCAGAATAACCCCACACAAAAATAAAGTTTTTCTCACCAGGTGCAAAGGGAGCGTATTAGTAATTTTAATTCGAAATACCCTGTGACGTATTATATACACTAATTACCATATTACTCATACGCTCCGAACCTCAGAGCTTATATTTTTTTCTTTGGAAACCACAGCTGTAAATGCAGTATTTTTTGTGAGAAAAAATCGAGCTCAGTTTCTGAGGGTTGTTGCGTATAAGTAACATTAAAGCAGGCATACATTGTACGCCATGTAGTCTTGGGTATTAAAATTACTAATACGCTACATCGTACGGAAAATATAAACTCTGTTTCTGAGGTCTTTTTTCAAGGAAAAAACTTCGAAAAATATAATTTATAAGGACTTTTTAATAGATGAAATCAAATTAAATGTTTAAGGATTTTTAATATTAAATTCGGAGTCCCAGGTCTCAGAAAAAATTAGGGCCAGCAAATAAACAAATTGTTCTCCATGGAAAAAATTAAACGTCAGCTTCTTAATTAATTTTTTCATGGAAAACATTCAACTTCCGACAATGAGCAAATTTTTTCTATAGAAAGATGTCATCCTCCGATGCTGATTTTTCCAATAGACAAATACTCAACCTCAGTTTCCGAGGTAATTTTTGTAATTGTTAATTAATATTACTTATACGCTTCCCATTTACATTGAATTAAAATATTATTGGAAATTAGAATTGACGAAACGAATTGAAAACTGGTTTTGTTGAATTTAAAAATAATTCCTTGCATAGAAAAAAATGTAATTCTGAAAACTGAAACTATTTTTAATTTTTTTTATTCGTGTATTGAAAATAGGTGAAGTGAAACAAATAATTTTTTTTATTCTCTAAAATTTGAGCACTCAATTGCTTTGTGTTTGTTATTTTTCATTTTCTTCTAGGTAGAAACTTTGCGTTAGCATTTCTCGCTGTGTCGTAAGTGAGTGGGGGAGGGGGGTCATCATATTTTACAAATTATTACAACAGCAACAAAAAACTGCACTATTCACTATTAAACTGCCATTCGGCATTTCTTATTATTAAATTACCTTAAAAACTAAAACCTTGTTTTTTGCATTCAATTTTCTCTCCTCCTCCTCCATTTTACACATACGCCTGCCCCCTTGTCCTTGTCTCCTTCCCCTGCAGCTTCTCGACAAAATTACGCCAACTTACCACTGTCTTACTGGAATATAACCACACACTCGATGTCACACCGACCAACATTGAACACAAATATTTCACCATATAAATTTGGAAAATAGGCCTCGACTCGGAACCATCTGGCCTTGGTAGGGGGCAAGGTATTGAAAAGGGGCGACATATATCACGATGCCACTGTACCATCCATTCATCGAAATAATAATATTCGTAGAAGAGACAACCGAGGTAGCCTAAGGCGGGTAGGATGAATAGGCCTGAGAAGAATCCAATACGCATCATAAGGCGTTCCAGTTTGTCGGTCCGTTTGCCATCAGTTTTCATAACGGTACGAATGCGGAAGAGTGATATAAAGCCAGCTAGCAGGAAGAGGGCTCCGATGGAGAGATAAATGCAGAGGGGTAGGATGAGGAATACGCCCAAGGAATGGGTATCCAATTGACCAACGAAACACACGCCGGATAAGATGTCACCTGCAAGGGAAGAGGGAAGAAAATTATTAGAGGAGATTAATATAATCATTAAAAAAGGATATAAAAATGAAAGATTTTTGTTTACAAAAAATAGCCTCAGACGAAGTAGATGCTCAATTTTTAAAGGGCAAAAAATTCCATTGAAAAAACTAGCCTCAAAAGACCAGATTTTTTCAACAAGGAAAATAGATTCACAAATCAAGGAGCTTATTTATCCAAAAATAGTCTCAGAATCTGAGGTCTCAATTTTAAAAATAGCCTCAGAAACGGAGACACCATTTTCTTTCTATAGAATCAGGTATAAAAAATATAGAAATAGCTTCAGAAGCCTCAGAAACGGTGGCACGATTTTTTTCTATAGAAAAAAGTAGCCGTAATTTTTTCTATAAAAAATAGCCTCAGACGAAGTTACGACTCCGATTTTTTCTATAAAAAAAAAAATAATCTCAGAGGAAGCTGAGGCTGCCGGATTTTACGAAAAAATTACTTCATATAATGCTGTGGCTCGCGAAGTTTTTTTCTATACAAAAAATAGCCTCATATGAAGCTGAGACTATACGAAGGAGCTTTACGAACGAATTATTTTTTTTGTACTAAAAATAGTCTCATAGGAAGCTGAGCTACCGATTATTTTTATAGAAAAACGCCTCTGACGAAGCTCAGGATCCGAGATTTTTTTTCTATAGAAAAATAGCCTCATACGATGCTGAGGCTCCGAATGATTTTCTATACAAAAGAATAGCCCCAGAGGAAGCTGAGTCCCGGATTTTTTCTATAAAAAAAATAGACGAAACTGAGGGTTCGATTTTTTTCTATTCAAAAAAAAAAAAAATAGCTTTTGACGAAGCTAAGTCTCCGATTTTTTCTATACGGAATAATAGCTTCCGACGAAGAAAAAAATAGGCTCCCATGACTCTGTATAGCCTCTGTATATGAGGACCTGATTTTTTTTTCTATACAAAATAATAGCCTTGGACGAAGCTGAGGTGACGAATTTATTTCTATCAAAAAAAAGACAAAAAAAAATTGCCTCAGTCGTAGCTGATGTCCCGATTTTTTCCCATACGAAAGCTGTGACTCGCGAATTTTTTTCTATACGAACAAATAGACGTAGCTGAGGCCTCGATTTTTATGTATATATACCTGAGGTCCTGATTTATTTTCTCTACTTAAAACTCTATTGCGGATATTGTCGCCTATAGATACACCCTCTGTTAACACACGAAGATTCCTTTCAGTTCCATTTTGGAGACTCCCTTCAGATCCTCTATAGAGACTCCTTTTACCTTGTCTATAGAACCTTCCTTCAACTTTTCCAAGGAGAGATAAAGACTATCAGCGAATCGTCTATAGAGATTTCAAGTAAGTCGTTCCTTCAGCTCATCTATAGTAGACACTCCCTTCCGCTCATCTATTTTGGGGGGGTCTCTATTATAGATGAGCGGAAGGGAGTGTCAGCTAATCTATAGTAGAGACTCCTTTCAGCTCATCTATAGTGGAGATCCCCTTCAGCTCGTAGGTTGTATCGGTTCCCTTCAGCTCATCTATAGTAGAGACTCACTTCGGCTCATCTATAGTAGAGATCCCCTCCTGCTCGTAGATAGTAGCGACTCCCTGAAGCTCGTCTATAATAGAGACACCCTTTAGGTCGTAGATAGTAGCGACTCCCTTCAGCTCGTAGATAATAGAGACTCCTTGAGCTAATTTTCTTAGTAATATATACCTCTGCTACTAGGGAAAAAATCGTTCGAACTGTGTGGAATTTCCTATAGAAAAAATACCTCAGTTAGGGAGCTTGGTACAGAGAAGCCAAATAATTTTCCTGACCTTTTTTCCCCTTATTGATCCGCAATCCCGCACGTAATATCTCATCAGTAAATAATTATTTCCTTATTGTCATCGAAAAAAGGTACCAAGCCTTTAATTTTGTTCCCCAAGGTTCGGCCGTTTCTGCTTCATTTGTCCGAATGTCTGTCTGTCTGTCAGTCAGCCAGTCAGTTTTGCCAATCAACATCATCACACCTCGGCAGCTGAAGCTTCATCATCAATTTGTGAACTCAAAACAAAAAAGAAGTGGAAAAAGGAGATAAAAAACAACTCCATAGTCTCATAAAGGTATCATCACAATCGTCATCATTATTGGCCACAAAACATGGCTCATCCTCCTGCTGCTGCTTCTCGTTCCGACAATAATTGTCTCTGGCTAGTGTTGTCAACAACGACTTAGCGCAGTAAACATTTTTGAAAAAAAATGAAGGGGAGAGTAGAGGGGAAAACGTGTTGGAAGATGCCAGCCATCCAGGAGATTGTTGCCTTCCAGCCAGTTAGGCACTTGCTGACTGAATGCCTGCCCGGCCGCTTGCTTGCCTGGCTATGATGCAATCATGAACGAAGTGGTAACAACAGCATTGCAACACGCATATGCAACATACCATTATGATGAGGAGGAAAATGATGACGATAATCATCGTCATCATCAGAACGATGATGAGGATGATGATAAGGATAATGATGTTGATTCAGATGCCGATGATTATGGCCACTCTCAAATGGATGATGATTGCCTGACTGCATCATCTGCTTTAAGTTGTACGTGAGGAGGTTGGCCGACCATTGTGTATTCGGCAAGACAATAAGACAATTGTTGTTCCCTCGGTCCCGCAGCTCTTCCCCTCCAGTTACTACAATTTATGGTGGCCATAATGTTTGTCCGTCTGTCTGTCTCCATTGGGGTTGTTAATGCCAGGATTTACATTCAACTCCCGGCCGGCCGCCACTTCTTTGAGTGGCATTTGTCGCAGAGCAACTGGTGGTGTGCAACGAAGAATGAAGAACGAAGACGACGACGACGAATCCTCATCATCCGTTTTGGCATTTTCGTTGCTTTGGGCTGGCGTTTTTATTTTCATTGGATTTCTTTATTTATTCTTCCTCGGCTGGTTGCTGCTGCTGCTGCTGGCCAACTTAATTCAGTTTCAGTTTCTTTTTGCTGAGGCTAAAACAGAAAGACAACTTGGCCACGATAGTGACAGCCACAGCAGCATCTTTGGCGGAGCCATTCTGCCTCTGCTGAAGATTGTCACACAAAATTGGCCACGAAATTGTAAACTTGTTTCTTTCTTGCCAACCATAAAACCTTGTCTTATTGTCCGTAGCTTCCTTTGCGTTTTATTCCTGTCGTTTTCCACGTCCTTCTCTGGTCTCATCTCTCCTCCTCACAGGACATGATAAGCTGTTTAACATTTATTATTGTTCTTCGAAAAAGAATATGCTGTCGTTTTTCGTTTTCTTTTGTTTTCGTCTCCCTTCCTTTTGTTCCTCCACGTCATTCACATTTTCTTTTGTGTGCGCTGTCGTTGACGTTTTAAGTTTTCAGGTTTCTTGTTTATGTCGCCTTACATTTTTTTGCATTGACGATTTTTGCATTCAGTTTCAATTTCTTTTTTGTTTTCTTGTGTAATTTTAAAAACAGATTTCCAACTTGATTTGAGAGGACATAAAAAGGAGGAATCCATGATGTGATGGACGGACCCTTGTAATTTTAGCAGGTGCAAACTGGTAGTCGTCACGTCCCCATACCTCCAATCCACCACACAGATATTGTTTTCCGAACACACAAATCAAGCTACTGATAAACGATCAAAGATAAAGCGATTACAAGCTGATTGAAATTGGAGTTGATAGGGAGGTGGGGGGAAGCTTAATTTATAACAGACGAATTAAACAGCTACCGTAATGACAGAGATAGAAAAACAAGGGGAGATAAAGAAAACATATACATTTTTTTCTATAGAAATAAAATTCGGACTCAATTGAGAGGTATTTTTCTATAGACGAGCTACAGGGAGTCTCTACTATGAAGGTGGACAGTACTATTGATGAACTGAAGGGGGTCGCTGCTGTCAAAGAGTTGAATAGAGTTACTACTATCAATTAGCTGATAGGGATCTCTACTATAGATGAGCTGAAGGGAGTACCTGCTATCGACGACCTCAAGTGGTCACTAATTATGAGGGTCACTGTTATCGACGAACTGAAAGGGTCTCTACTATAGATGAACTGAAGGGAGTAACTGCTATATACAAGCTGAAGGTGGTCTTTTCTTTTTACGAGCTGATGGCGATCTATTCTTAACGAGCTGAAGCTACTATAGACGAGCTGAAGGCGGTCACTACTATAGACGAGCTGAAGGCGGTCACTAACATCGATGAGCTTAAGAGGGTCTTCTACTATGAACGATCTGAAGGGGGTCACTACTATCAACGAGCTGAAGGGGTTCTCTACTACAGATGAACTGAAGTTAGTCAATACTATCTACGAACTGCAGGGAGTCTGTCACTAACATCGATGAGCTTAAGAGGGTCTTCTACTATGAACGATCTGAAGGGGGTCACTACTATCAACGAGCTGAAGGGGTTCTCTACTACAGATGAACTGAAGTTAGTCAATACTATCTACGAACTGCAGGGAGTCTTTACTATAGATGAGTAGAAGAAAGTCACTACTATCCATGGATATGTTCAACGGCATCTCTATAGACGAACTGAAAGGTGGTCTCTAAGGACGAACTAATGGGAGTTCCTATAGACGATTTGAAAAGGAGTCTCTCCTGCAAATTCAAGGCAGTTTATAAGGACGAACCGAGGGAAGCCTTTATAGATGAAGGTAGTCAATTTACATGCGTGCTGAAGGTAGCCTCTATAGATGAGGGAAATGATTCTTCATAGGCGATCTGAATCGCCTATATCGATAGAAATAGAAACGGCTGTTCAGCTTTGTCTTAGGCTCTTTTTTCCAAAGACAAACATTTTAGGCCTCAGCTTCCTTTTCTTTAGAAAAAATCGGGACCTCAGGCTTTTTTTTATAGAAACAAATTAGCGGGGCTACAACTTTGTCTGGGGCTTTTTTTACGTTATGCCAAATTTCGTGCAAATCGAAAGATATATAGCGACTTTGGTGCACCATTTACATGAAATTGGACGAAACTATATATGGGAGCT